CAAATTAGAATACGAGAAAAGCCAACATCTACTACTGTGGACGTCAATAAGCTTAAAGAAGCTACTAGGACGTTTAAACTCGGAGATGGGCTTGGCCTAGCAATGAGTAGAACTAAATCAATTAATGCTGGATCCCAAGATTTGGGTGAGATGTTAAGCCAGCCTTCTTCCTCAACAACTGCTCCGACTTCTGCACCTGCTTCTGTAGATCCTTTCGCCATGAGCTCATGGACTCAGCAACCTCAACCAGTAACCCAACCAGCTCCATCTGGTACGGGTATGGGAGTTGTAGCTGGGCCGATACCCGAAGACTTTTTCCAAAACACAATCCCATCTGTTGAGGTTGCCAAGACATTGCTTCCTCCTGGCACTTATCTTTCGAAAATGGACCAAATCGCTCGAGCTGCAGAAGCTGCAAAGAATGCTCCAAATCAAGGGATTAATACTACTCTGCCTGATATTAGTCTTCCCGATGGTGGTGTTCCCCAGCCAAATCAACAACCTGGTGTTCCATATCAGACCGTTGGACTTCCTGACGGTGGTGTTCCATATCAAGGGCCACCACAGGTTCCCGTTTCTACGCAGCCTCTTGATCTTAGCGTTCTTGGAGTTCCGAATACGGGTGATTCTGGAAAGCCTCCTGGGCAACCTACATCTCCTCCTTCGGTTCGGCCTGGACAGGTGAATGTGAATTTGATATTTCCTATGTGTGTGCATGCCAATCACGAATTAAACTTGCTAATGTTTCTGGATTTACTTATAAAGATCAAATTCAACACGTAAAAGTGCGTAGATCTCACTATTGCTTGTCTCCTCTATGATTACTACTCTCTCCAGGTTCCGCGTGGAGCTGCAGCTCCAGTTTGTTTCAAGACTGGACTTGCCCATCTTGAACAGAATCAGCTTCCAGATGCGCTGTCTTGCTTTGATGAAGCATTCTTGGCTCTGGCTAAGGATCAATCACGTGGAGCAGACATCAAAGCTCAAGCCACAATTTGTGCTCAGTACAAGATAGCCGTAACTCTCCTTCGGGTAAACTAACTCTCATATGTCTCCTCTCTTACGAGTTTTTTAACCCGAAAAAAGAGTTTTTAACCTGAAAAAATCAGATTCCGCTCAAAAGAGAAAATCACTTAGTAATGCATCTTTCTTTTCTCTCCATTGCAGGAAATCTTACGGCTACAAAGAGTCCAAGGCGCAAGTGCATTGAGCGCAAAGGATGAAATGGCAAGACTTTCAAGGCATTTAGCTTCACTGCCACTACTAGCAAAGCACCGCATAAACTGCATACGAACAGCAATCAAACGAAACATGGAAGTCCAAAACTATGGCTACTCAAAGCAAATGCTGGAACTGCTTTTATCAAAAGCACCGGCGAGTAAGCAAGAAGAATTAAGAGGACTGGTCGATCTCTGTGTCCAGAGAGGCACATCGAACAAATCCATCGACCCACTTGAAGATCCTTCTCAATTATGCTCAGCTACACTCAGCAGATTATCGACCATTGGATACGATGTTTGCGATCTCTGTGGCGCAAAGTTTGCTGCTCTTTCGTCACCCGGTTGTATCATTTGCGGTATGGGAAGCATCAAACGGTCTGATGCACTCGCTGGACCCGCACCTGTATCCACACCGTTTGGCTAAAGGTTATAGACATGATTACGGTTTGGTTTAATTAATATTAAGCAAATTTCATATTGGTTACATGTAAGAACATTCGATTTTTGTGGGT